TGCAAACGGTATATATATGGTAATATAATATTTAATTTTTATTCATATTTTACTACTATTTTAATAACAATATTAACAAAATAGTTATTGTTTTATTATAAATTATACTAATTAATAGTAATAAAGTGCAAAAATATGCATATACAATACAAGATTTTGTTGCTGGTATTAAATAGTATAAGTAGTAGTAGTAATAATAGTTTAAACAGTTTATATTGTAATATATTACTATATTTTATTTGATTGTATTATTTTTGTTATTGTTTAATATCAATTTATATTTTATAAATATGTACCAGTCCGAGTCCTTGAGGTGTGTGTTTGAAACCAGCGATGGGTCACACACTCACACACACCCTGGAGCTGCTGAGCTCTAGCTAAGCTTTAATATGGATGGACAATTAATTGAAGTAATCATGGTCAGATTAATCGATTGTCAAAGCTAAATAAGCCGCTGACTGATATCGTGTGAGTTGGTCATAGCCTGATCAGCTGTTGTAAAGCTCTTCCTCCATGTAGCAGCGTCTCCCATCATCACATGGGTCTCTCTGAGTCTCTCAGGTCTCTCTGAGTCTCTCGGAGTCTCTCGGTACTCTCTGAGTCTCTCGGAGTCTCTCTGAGTCTCTCTGAGTCTCTCGGTACTCTCTGAGTCTCTCGGGTCTTTCGGGTCTCTCAGAGTCTCTCTGAGTCTCTCTGAGTCTTTTGGGTCTCTCAGAGTCTCTCTGAGTCTCTCGGTACTCTCTGAGTCTCTCGGGTCTTTCGGGTCTCTCAGAGTCTCTCTGAGTCTCTCTGAGTCTTTTGGGTCTCTCAGAGTCTCTCTGAGTCTCTCTGAGTCTCTCGGTACTCTCTGAGTCTCTCGGGTCTTTCGGGTCTCTCAGAGTCTCTCTGAGTCTCTCTGAGTCTTTTGGGTCTCTCTGAGTCTCTCTGAGTCTCTCGGTACTCTCTGAGTCTCTCGGGTCTTTCGGGTCTCTCAGAGTCTCTCTGAGTCTCTCTGAGTCTTTTGGGTCTCTCAGAGTCTCTCTGAGTCTCTCGGAGTCTCTCTGAGTCTCTCGGGTCTCTCAGAGTCTCTCGGAGTCTCTCTGAGTCTCTCTGAGTCTCTCGGGTCTCTCAGAGTCTCTCTGAGTCTCTCTGAGTCTCTCGGGTCTCTCTGAGTCTCTCGGAGTCTCTCAGAGTCTCTCGGGTCTCGCAGAGTCTCTCTGAGTCTTTCGGAGTCTCTCGGGTCTCTCTGAGTCTCTCGGAGTCTCTCGGGTCTCTCTGAGTCTCTCGGAGTCTCTCGGGTCTCTCTGAGTCTCTCTGAGTCTCTCTGAGTCTCTCTGAGTCTCTCGGGTCTCTCTGAGTCTCTCGGAGTCTCTCGGGTCTCTCTGAGTCTCTCTGAGTCTCTCTGAGTCTCTCTGAGTCTCTCGGGTCTCTCTGAGTCTCTCGGAGTCTCTCGGGTCTCTCAGAGTCTCTCGGGTCTCGCAGAGTCTCTCGGAGTCTCTCGGGTCTCTCTGAGTCTCTCGGGTCTCTCTGAGTCTCTCGGGTCTCTCTGAGTCTCTCTGAGTCTCTCTGAGTCTCTCTGAGTCTCTCGGGTCTCTCTGAGTCTCTCGTGTCTCTCTGAGTCTCTCGGAGTCTCTCGGGTCTCTCTGAGTCTCTCGGGTCTCTCTGAGTCTCTCGGGTCTCTCTGAGTCTCTCTGAGTCTCTCGGGTCTCTCTGAGTCTCTCGGGTCTCTCTGAGTCTCTCGGGTCTCTCTGAGTCTCTCGGAGTCTCTCAGAGTCTCTCGGGTCTTGCAGAGTCTCTCTGAGTCTTTCGGAGTCTCTCGGGTCTCTCTGAGTCTCTCAGAGTCTCTCGGGTCTCTCAGAGTCTCTCTGGGTCTCTCGGGTCTCTCGGAGATGGACATATGCACTTTTATGATGGACATATGCACTTTTATGATGGACATATGCACTTTTATGATGGACATATGCACTTTTATGATGGACAGATGCACTTTTATGATGGATAGATGCATTTTAATGATGGACAGATGCACTTTTTTGATGGACAGATGCACTTTTATGATGGACAGATGCACTTTTATGATGGACAGATGCACTTTTATGATGGATAGATGCATTTTAATGATGGACAGATGCACTTTTTTGATGGACAGATGCACTTTTATGATAGACAGATGCACTTTTATGATGGATAGATGCACTTTTATGATGGACAGATGCACTTTTTTGATGGACAGATGCACTTTAATAATGGACAGATGCACTTTTATGATGGACAGATGCACTTTTATGATGGATAGATGCACTTTTATGATGGATAGATGCATTTTAATGATGGACAGATGCACTTTTTTGATGGACAGATGCACTTTTATGATGGACAGATGCACTTTTATGATGGATAGATGCACTTTTATGATGGATAGATGCATTTTAATGATGGACAGATGCACTTTTTTGATGGTCAGATGCACTTTTATGATGGACAGATGCACTTTTATGATGGACAGATGCACTTTTATGATGGACAGATGCACTTTTATGATGGATAGATGCACTTTTATGATGGATAGATGCACTTTTATGATGGATAGATGCATTTTAATGATGGACAGATGCACTTTTTTGATGGTCAGATGCACTTTTATGATGGACAGATGCACTTTTATGATGAATAGATGCACTTTTTATTTTTTTTCAAAACACTAACCGGCAATTAACTGGCATTATAAAGCTTGGAAGAGCCAGGACATTTTTTTAATATAACTCTGATTGTATTCGTCTGAAAGAAGAGTGTCACACCCTCAAGTCATCCTAAGTGAATTAGTAAATCATGGGCTAATTTTCATTTTTGGGTGAACTATCCCTTCAAATGAAAAGGCCAAGTTCAACTGGTGAAAGTCCAGTTTTTAATGTTGTTTATGTGTGTATGTGGTGTTTTTAATCCGCTTAATCCGCATTGCTGAGTATTTCCTCCTTGAAACTGCAGTGAACCAAAGTCAAAAACACGGTTTGAAATCGCTGGTGTTTCTGACGTCACAAACCACCTTGTAACCAGTGGAGGCGGGGCTCAATTGCATATAGAACTGCGCATACTAAATGAGGCAAGGGTGTCGACTTACATTTCAAGATATTTTAAGGCATTTCAAGGAAAAAAACTTTTAAATATGTCATTTTTTTGATCAAAGATGAGTTTTAAGGGATACGATGATTGACTACAGCCTGATTTTCCAAGCATCACTATTACTATTGCTCATATTTGAGATTTTGATTGAGATTTCTGCTTTTGTTTTGCTTATCGTGTCCCTGAAAGCATCCTCACATAAACCTCATCCTCACATAAACCCTCGCATGCCGCTGTCGCCCGAGGGTGCTGTCTCTCCCCGGCCTGTGTCTAATCGAGTTCATCACGCTGTCTGATCCGGAGCGCAGGCAACTGTGAATCGTCTGGCAGCATGTGAAAGGGCTCACGCTGAGGACATGTGTTATTAGCAGAACCGTACCTGTCCTGCGCTGACAGCAAATCAAGCTTAGCGCACTCAGATTAAGGCTTTTCAGCCTGCGGGACGCGCCGACCCCTGTTTAAAACACCGAATGTATCCGAGCCGGAGTAAAGTCAGATATGGATTAGATTCTAGAGGAGAGTTTATTAGATTTAGATACTGCTCATCCAAATCCCATCATGCTCTAGTGTTTATTCTGGTTGCAGGCATGTCCCGAACACAAGCTGGCCGTAGCTGGAACAAGAGAGCGCTCATTGTTCTAAATGTGCTGAAGTTAAAATCACATGGTTGTACAAACATTTTTAGAAATGTCATTTGGTCAGCTCTTTGCCTGCTTGTTTGAGGGGTGAAGCAGCTCCTCTGGGTTTAAAATATCCTATTGGAAGACACACACACACACACACACTCATATCCAACTCTGGCCTGAACATGATGATTACTTCTGATCTCCCTTTTGCTGCCAATTTAATTCAGACTAAACATAAAACTGAGAACTGAGAAGCTTGCATATGTAGAGGCGAAACAGGAGGGAAGATGTGCTGATTTTTATTTATATTTTAATTTTCAAGGATGCACTAAAGTATGTAGATGTAGCCTCATTGATTTTGCTTTCTTATGTGGAACCAAAAAATATTTAGGTTTATGATTTTTTTTAAATATTTAGATCTCCAAAACATATTTTAAAACACCATAAAATGATTATTGAAGTCTCTTTTGTTCAACAGAAATCACTCTAATATGATGATCTGATGCTCAACAAACATTCATGATTGTTTATCAGTGTTGTAAACTGTTTTTTTGTGTGGGACCTGATGCTTTTTGTTTTTCAGGATTCTTCAATGAATATTTGAAATAGAATATTTTGTAACATTATAAATGTCTTTACTGTCACTTGATGCATTTAATGCATCCTTGCAAAGAAAAGAGCAGCATGGAAATTACTCAGAAACTCTCCTTTTGTATAGAAATAATGACATTTTGAGTGACTCATCGCTTTAACATGTTAATTAGGGGTGTAACGATACCCTCACGGTAAATTTCACGATACGATATTACTGCGATAATCCAAGAGATATGATAAAAGGTGGACAAGAAAATGTACTGTAGATTAAAATGCTAAATTTGGTTTTACATTCTGAATGTAACTGAATAGGCTTTGACTTGTTATAGAGACGCCAGAGGAACAATAATCACGATTCTGAAGCTGAAAATACTGAATTGTTTTAGACAAATATGCTTGATCTCTGACAGGATATATTTAAAATAATGTAGGACTTTTTACTGCTAACATCAGTTATTTGTTATTATCAGGACCCACAAATATTCCACCATTGCATTATTATATATTATATTCAACATTATATTTAGTAGTTTAATGTAGTTCTGAACTTCTGACACTAATATATATATATATATATATTTTTTTTTTTCACAGTACCGGTAATTTAACAATACACATTGATGCATTTTTGTATGGTGATATATTGTTACATCCCTAATGTGTGTGTGTGTGTGTGTGCAGTGCTGCAGGAGGGGAGATCTTTAACCAGTGTGTGGCGGACCGAGACGAGGCGTTTAAAGAGGACGATGTGAAGAGGCTGATGAGGCAGATTCTGGAAGGAGTGGCTTTCCTTCACCGGAGGAACGTCGTGCATCTGGACCTCAAAGTGAGTGACGATCAAGAGCACCTGCAGAAGGGCTAACATTTAGCAAACTCGCCTCTGGTGCTCTTCGGGTTAATAGTTCACTTTTTATGTTTTGTTTTTTTGTGAATTTCTTTCTTCATCGGAATGGTATGAAACTTGGTAAAGGTCTTGGCTCTTGCAATGTGAACACAAACACACAAATAATACACAAATTTGAACAGGTTCATGGTCCTGAATAAAACAGTCACTCTTGGCGTCAGAAACGGCGCATTGTAAAGGAATGTGAGTTTCCTCTAGTGGAAGCGTTTGGAACTGCAGCCGATCGACCGATCTCACTGACGCTCGTTTACTGCGAGATCAGATCACGATCATATTTAGAACTTGTTTAGATATATGGCTTTGATTTTATTGCAGTTTAAGAGAAAAACATGTTTTTTAAAAATATATATTTCATAAAAATTGAAAATGGTATTTTTGCTAATTTTTCATAACAATAAACGTAAAATTCTGTAACTTAAAGGAGTAGTTCACTTAAAAAAAAAAAACTTTTGCTGATAATTTACTCACCCCCATGTCATCCAAGATGTCCATGTCTTTCTTTCTTCAGTCGAAAAGAAATTAAGGTTTTTGATGAAAACATTCCAGGATTTTCTCCATATAATGGACTTCAATGGGAACCAAACGGTTCAAGGTCCAAATGAGAGTTTCATTCACCTTCAAAGGGCTTTAAACGACACCAGACGATGAATAAGGGTCTTATCAAGTGAAACAATCGCTCATTTAAAAAATAAATAACAAAGTTTAAGTTTTATAAGCTCAAATGCTCTCCTTGCTCTGTTCTGTGATGCGCGATCATGACTCTCCTGTTCAAACTTGTTCTTCACAATGAACAAATCTTCATTCAACGAACGAAACGAACAAATTGACTCGGAAAAAGATTCGTTCATTTTGATTTGAATGAGTTCGGACAGGAGAGTCACACAGAACAGAGCAAGGCGAGCATTTGAGCTTATAAAACCTAAACTTTGTTATTTATTTATTAAATGAGCGATCGTTTCGCTTGATAAGACCCTTATTCATCGTCTGGAATCGTTTAAAGCCCTTTGAACAGTTTGCACTGAAACTTAAACCGTTTGGTTCCCATTGAAGTCCATTATATGGAGAAAATCCTGGAATGTTTTCATCAAAAACCTTAATTTCTTTTCGACTGAAGAAAGAAAGACATGGACATCTTGGATGACATGGGGGTGAGTAAATTATCAGCAAGTTTTTTTCAGAAGTGAACTACTCCTTTAACTTTTTTCCCTTCAGCGATAATCTGCCAAGTGTCGTCTTTAAGAAAAGATCAAAATACTCTAAAGCATTCAAGATTTACCACACCTTAAGTTGGAAATATATTCTGAAAAAGTGAATAAATGGACAATAAATACAGCGTAATTTAATTTAGTGCCCTAAAATCCCCTAAAAATGCAAAATATTAAATAAAAGCCGCCACGTTTGTCTTTAGAGCTCCAGAGGGTGTCGGGGTTGTGTTTGATGAAGTGGACATTTCTGTGGTCTGAACACATTTGCTTTATTCACCAGAGCTACAAGTGTGTAATTACACCAGGGCTAAGAGTGTGTAATTATCCCTCCGTTATAATTACACGCCGTGGGTTTTCCTCCGCAGCCTCAGAATATCCTCCTCACCAGCGAGGCTCCGCTCGGACACATAAAGGTGGTGGACTTCGGGCTGTCGAGGCTGGTGGGCAGCGGGCACGAGATCAGGGAGATTATGGGAACGCCGGAGTATGTAGGTAATGTCACCAATCACGGACCGTCACACTCCTACACATAAAGGGTGTTTTCACAGCGTTGAAGAACCATTTTGGGTTCCTATTCTGCTCTTTCCATCTGTGTGTAGTGTTTGAGGTTGAAGAAGCTCCAGTTCTTCTCTATATGAGTGAAACGCCTCCATTGTAGTCTTGAGATTCTTCTGGGAACGAACACGTCACAATATTCCTCATTATAATAATTAATGCGCAGAATAAAGGGGCGGGGCCTGGTTGAGTTAGTTAGTAGTGTGTTAAACTGGCGGTTATGGAAAGGGGCGGGACATTTCCAAAACACACTCCTGGCGCTCGACCAATCACAACACCCTGCTCCAGCCGACCAATCAGAGCACAGTGTGCTTTTCAGGAGGAGGGGCTTCATAGAGACAGGAAGTAAACAGAGCGTTACTGACAGACTGGGAAGAGAGGAGCCGCAACAATGGAGAATATGAGGAGAATAATCATGAAACCTGCTCTAGGAGAGCCCGAACACAAGACTTTGTGTAAAGCATGATATGGCCTCTTTAAAAGAACCATTTTTTCTTAGTTTGAAGCACATTTTTAAAAACTAAAGAAAGAATCTATCGATGTTAAAGGCTTAGAGTGTTTGGGCAAACTGGACTGAGTTGATGTCAATGGTTTGTTTTGTCTCCACAGCTCCAGAAGTCCTGAATTATGAGCCGATCAGCACAGCGACGGACATGTGGTGAGTGTTTCCTGCAGTACATTTTCTCAAGCCTGGATGTTCCACAAGTATAATAAAGACTTCTCTGGAGGTTATGATCATCCTCAAGTGCTGGATCTCCTCTGGAACAAGCGCTGTATTCAGAGTGTGTCTTCAGGATATATTGTGCAAGAACATTTGTAACATAAAGTCTTTTATCAACAATAATGCTTTGAGAAAAGTCTATTTGTAACCTAAATGCCGTCCTGAGGAAGCATCATCATCATCATCATCATCATCATCTCTCTCCCTCAATTCAAATGAGCTTTATTGGCATGAATGTGTAAAATAGCACAATATTGCCAAAGCAATAGACATAGACATATATGTAGATAAAGAAAAGTGAACAATATATATTTTTTTCATATTATGCATAAATATATCACAATAATAAATTTAAATATATATATAAAATAACAAAAATAAGTACATATTCTATCTCTCTACAGCAGGAAAAATATAAGTTCTTGTTTTATTAAAAAAATGTATTTGGAGATGTTTAATGTTTTGGTAAATAAATTGATCTTAGAGTCAAGTCTCTTTCTCTCTTTTGTTTTCTTTTTCTCTGGAAATGTTTATTTGTGGATTTAAATACATCTGAAAATGTCAATTTTGTTGTCAATTAATGATTTTTTTACTGGGTCAAGCGAAGAAGGTGATGTATGACTCTCTCTCTCTCTCTGACAGGAGCATCGGCGTCCTCGTGTACGTGATGCTGACGGGCATCTCTCCGTTCCTGGGCGACGATAAGCAGGAGACGTTCCTCAACATCTCTCAGATTAACGTCAGCTACACCGAGGAAGAGTTCGAGACGCTGGACGAGTCCGCCATCCTCTTCATCAAGTCCCTGCTCATCAAAGAACCTGAGTGAGACACGACATGAAACACTTCATCTCAAATACATATTTAGTTCAGACGATCGCATCATCAGCTCATGGCTCAAGCTGATTGGCTCTGCTGATCCTGCAGCCAATGAGATCGCTCACTCAGCATTTCAACAGTTCGCTGTAATCTAGTCTTACAGGACTGTCAGAGTTCCTCTAAAATTCACTTGCTTAAAATAAGTCTTAATATTCCAAACAATGTTTCATGATCAGCATTTATCAATTCATTAATTAAGCAATATATCGTGTCTACATGTATCGCAATACAAAAATACAACAAGTATCATGGATAGTGACAATATATATTGTGTATAGTTAAAACCAAAATAAAAATTACTGTGAGAAAAATATACTGTATATATATATAATTTTGATATTTTCATAACTTTTCAGCAATTGAATTAAACAGGTTGAAATGTTTTTACATTGATCACAAATTAAAACTATGTTCATGAAAACATTAAAAATGATGTTGCGTTGATAAAAGGAAGAAAACAATCTTAATAAACTGCCAGTTGTTTTTTTTAGGATAGTTGTTTTACAGTAAACATGCAGTAAATGTGAAACCGCAATGCATGATGTGAACGTTGTTTCTAGAAGAAAATGTTGGGTTACACGTATTGGGTCACTAAGTTGGGTTATTTTCCAAAAATGTTGGGTTATGTTGAACTAAAACTGAACTGCGTGTGTACAGAAGCCGAGCGACCGCAGAAGACTGTCTCAAACACCAGTGGCTTCAGCTGAAGGAGCAGGACCTGAAGGAGAGCATCTGTGAGCCGGTCAGCCCTGATGAAGAAGAGGAGGAGGAGGAGGAGCTGTTCGTCATGGCCTCCTACACCCCCGACCCCAAGGCCATCTCCAAACGCTTCAAGTTCCAGGAGCCCTTCTCCACGCTTCCCGGAGGATTCATCTACTGACACACACACACACACACACGGTCTCCTCACTGTAAAAACGGTTCAGTTCTCTCACTTAAGAAACTGTGGAAACCCGTTGCCTTACAATTAAGTAAAGAACAGAAAAAAATAAGTAGTGGAATTGTCAAGTTCAAGTTTATTTACTTAATAATTTTAAAGGCAACAGGTTTTTTAAGTAAATAATCTTAATGCTTAATTGAAAAATAAGTTATGTGAACCTGATAACTCCACAGTACTTAATTTTTTCGATTAAACTTGACGTTTATTTACTTAATAATTTTAAGTGAAGTCCACTGATCCCTTTTTACAGCCGTTCCCTCGCCTCGTGATCTGAACCTGTAAGCCAAACCATGTGTGTCGTTCCTGTTCTCTGTTTGTGCTGCTTTACATTTACACGCGTTCGCTCCTGAAGACGAGCCTTGCTGTGATTCTCACGCGCTCTTTCCATCTCCTTCTGGTGCCATGCTTCAATATTTTGATGATAAGGGTCATAAACGTGTCTTGTGATGTTGTCTTCTGTTTGCCTTTGCCATGTTTGTACAAAATTAATGTTGTTGTTTTTTTCTGCAATCCAGAGGCAAGCAGAATTAAATGTAAATTAATCTAATTTTATATTAAGAGTATTTCAGTGTCATGTTTAAAAAGCCATTTTGCATGTTCAGGTCATTCCTGGGTAAAGATTTCCACAGCAATAACACTTACATTTACACATATATATATGAAGAAAATGTGTTTATTTTAACTCATGTTAGAGTTATAACTGTAAATTGATTTGTCACTATAAAGAAAAATTTTAATGGGAACAAATTTCCAAGTGACTGTCTTGATGCTGTAAATAAAACTTTGTCTTGAAGGCCACTCACTCTCCCTCATTATTATGATGATTATTTTATTATGAAGGAAGTCGTCATAGTTGGGTAAACTTCTAGTGGTGAATACAAGATTACTACATTAAATATGTTTGTGTGTATTCCCATTTGCTCAAATAGCAAAATAAAACCCCATCAACAATGTTTTCACAACTTTCAAAAAGAGTAAAAAGATAGAGTTTGATAACGGCAGTGAGAATAAATAAAAAAATGACTGTATTAGAAACACCCTCACAGCAACGTTTAGTGATATACATTTTTTTATTATTAAATGAAATACAAACAACTTTGTATGATTCCCGATGCTATAACCGTTAAAGCGCCTCACCATGAAAAGCTCTATGGAAATGGCCTTTGTTTTGGCGCCCTCTGCTGCATGACGTCATGTGATTTCTTTGAGTTTTTCAAACGAATTTATTTGGTTTTGCTATTTAAAAATTATTATCAATAATATTATTATTAATATTAACATACATGTATGTGTTGTTAAATTGGTGTAACGTATTGTAGAGCTAAAAATGTCAACTAATAAAATCTACAGAATTAGCGGGGATGCCATTTGAAGCGCCAGTGATCCCGGGTGTTTGTGGGTCTGCGGTGATGATTTGATCGAGTAGCGGGCATTAATGTGTCGTGTAGGCCTCGCCCGTGAGGTCCTCAGCCCGTGAACACGGAACCGGACCTCAGAGCACCGGGAGAGAGACGGGAGATGCGCTGACGCGACGGATTGACGGATTTCCCGTGACGCGCGTGTTACCGATGGAGGACTGGGCCCAGTGTTTGGACGAGGCCGTGCGGGTCGCGCGCAGAGCCGGGCAGGTACAATTAACGTTATGTTATTTCATAACTATCATATTCAATTAAAAGGTGTAATGCTGAAACGTTTAATGACGTGCTGTACAGATAATACACACTGCGCTGTTTTTACCCGGTATTTCCTTGTTGTTGTTGTATCAGCATGTTGACACCCTGTGTTAATAGTACAACTCAAATCCTGCAATATAACAGAGCTTATATGAATCAGAATCGATACCTGTTCTGTAATAGTCGAAGCACTATAAAATAGAATAAACTATATGATCTGTTCGACTGATGACACTCTCCTGTTAGCTACCTGTTATAAATAACCCTGATAAAGCTTGTTATCTGATCCAGGGTAGACTAATGTAACCTGTGTAGAGGCATTAGGACAATACTAGTATTATTATTAGTATGATAATAATGTTAGTATTATTATTATCATTTTCATTATTATTTTTATTATTGTTGTTTTTGTCAATACATAAATAATAAATAATTGTAGTTATACTACTCTGTTATTGTTATTGTTAAATATAAATAATGAAAACAAAAGGTGTTTAAGGATAAGGATATGTTTATTTATTATTATTATCAATAATTATACATTTATATAAGTAATTATAGTAATATGAATAATAGTCTATTATTATTTTTATAAATATAATTATACATTTATAAATTATAAAAAAATATATTTTTATTATTACTATCAATACATGTAAGATAGATGACATTGGTAACGATAGTAGTTTATTATTATCATGGTTATGTTAGCACTATATTACAATTTATTATATTAATACAACTTTATTATTCTCTAAACAACAAACATACTATTTATTACCAAACAAAATTAATGAGTCATTATTTTTATTAGCTCTTATTTTCATTTACACTTTATTCATTTTTGTAGGGTATGTGCTTTTGTCATTTTTATTATTTGATTTTTAATATATAGTCTAGCTTCTTTTTCTGGAGATTTGATACATTTCCATTTTAGCTTTAATCATTTTAGTACATCAGATTTATTTCAGTAAGTTCCCAAGACAAGATTAAAATTTTTCTTGAAATATTTAGTTTCAGCATTATTTGGCTGACTGAGAATGATGGTGTGTGTGGTACTGTTGTGAGGTGTGTGTGTGTCCTCCGTCAGGTGGTGGCGTGTGCAGTGCTGTCAGTCAGGTGTGTGTGTGTGTGTGTGTTTCCTTCATCAGGTGTGTGTGTCTCTTCCGTCAGGTGGTGGTGTGTGTCTCCTCTGTTAGGTGGTGGTGTGTGTCTCCTCCGTCAGGTGGTGGTGTGTGTCTCCTCCGTCAGGTGGTGTTGTGTGCAGTGCAGCTATGAGATGTTGGTGTGTGTCTCCTCCGTCAGGTGGTGGCGTGTGCAGTGCAGCAGGAGAAGTGTGTGCGCAGTAAAAGCACTCCCACAGATCTGGTGACGGAGGCGGATCAGCAGGTGGAAGACCTTATCATCTCCACCCTCAGGAGCAGATACCCGGAGCACAGGTGCACATTTGGAGACTCAATACACACACACACATACCAGGGAATAGAACATGGAACATCTTTTTAATTTCTCTCTAATTCCTTCAAACCCACACGAAAAATGTCCTTCAGGGTGATGTCATTAAAATCCACTTGGTGACAAATTGCACAGATCTCCTCAACATAGTTCTCAATGGCCTGGTCGCCTTGGTGAGGCACATGAAACGACTGCTGGGCAAAATTACTAAAACTTAATCTAATATTAAAGTAAAAACTTAAAATATACAAATTAAAAAAGCTATTTCAGCATATAAATTGATACTATAATTCTAAAAAAAAGATACTAAATAATTCTAAAATAAGACTGAAGTACCATGTAAATATCAGGTTGTATGAAGTGTTTTGCAAATAAAAGTGGTTTTCCTGCAGAAGATTTCTATAAAAGGGCACTACAGACTGTTTAATGTGTGACCATAAGTAATAACTGTTGGTGTAATGTTGATGTTTCGTGTGTCACATGTTATTGAAAGGTTTATCGGAGAGGAATCGTCCGCCGCCGGAGTGAAGTGTGAACTGACCGACAGCCCGACCTGGATAATAGATCCCATCGACGGGACCTGTAACTTTGTGCACAGGTACCATAAGCGTCTTCATATATTGTGTTTAAATCATCATAGAAATATAATCCCAACACACAATCCTTGGCTTGCAGTTTTCCTATGGTGGCAGTGAGCATCGGATTCGCTGTGAGGAAAGAGGTAAAGAACGGATGAATCCCAATGACTGGTTCTTTCCCTGATACAGTATAAAGTGTGTGTGAATAATAAATGCGTGTGTGTGTGTTAGCTGGAGTTTGGTGTGATCTACCACTGTTTCGATGGGACACTGTACACTGCCAGAAAAGGACACGGAGCCTTTCGCAATGGTGTTCGACTACAGGTTTCCAAAGAAAAAGGTCAGCAAATTATTTAACTTTTTAATTTTTTTTTTTTTGCAATAAATGATAATTAACCTGTCGCTTTATAATGGCAAAGTAAAACTGATCTAAATTATAAAACACATAGTTGTGGTCCTGAAAGCTGATTAGACCATTCTTAAATATAAATGTTTCCTTGAAAATTAAGAAAACTAAAAAAAAATATAATAATTATCATTGCAGTAGTATTTATAAAAAATAAAAAAAAACGCACAAATAAAGGTAATCCAAATAAGAAATCCAACAGGAGAAACAAAAATCCAAACAGGAGAAGATGATAAACCAAACGGGAAACAATGACAAAAGCCGATAACAAGAGCTAACGAGCTACAGGTGATAGTAATCAATCACTATGGTAACAAACAACAGTAACTATAGAAAAAAAAGAGTAAACCAGGAACTAAACATAGGAGAAACCAGAAAACACTCTTCAAAATAAAAGTCACACAACACAAAAATACAAGCGAAACCATGACAGTAATATTCTAAAATATTATTCCAATTATTATTTATTCCTGTGATCAAAGCTGAATTTATCATCATTACTCCAGTCTTCAGTGTCACATGATCCTTCACAAATCAGTCTAATATGATCTGATGCTCAAGAAACGTTTATGGTGATTATCAATGTTGAACAAAGCTTAATATTTTTGTGGAAACTGATACATTTTATTTTTCATTTTATCTTTGATGAATAGAAAGTTCAAAAGAACAGAATTAATTTGAAATTATAAAATTATAAATGTCACTTTTAAACGTTGTAATGTGTCCTTGGTTAATAAAAGTGTGTGTGTGTGTATATATAATATATATGTATATATATATATGTATATACTGTTTATATAAACGCACAGACACCAAACTCTTATTTAAATGCATATTTAAATAATTAATTAATGCTCTTTATGGGTTTAATCTCACTTTATTGGCCTGTGTTTGCACAGTAAATGTTGCGGAGTGTATGATGACGATGTGTTTGGTGTCTCGGTCAGATGTGTCCAAGGCCCTCATTCTGACGGAGATCGGGGCCAAGAGAGACCCTGCGACTCTGGATATCTTCCTGGGAAATATGAAGAAAATGTTGAGCGCACCGACTCATGGGTACGCCCACACTGGGAGAAATCACATTTCAAAGTTGCACATAAGCAAATATTATTGGGGTGTGTTTTACAAGAAAATTACTTCAGTATTTATACTTCATAATGAACTTGAACTATAAACTATATATAGGGCCCTATGAAATCCATTTCATTTTTTTCCTAAATTCTGTTTTATTTTTACAGTAGATAAAGCATCCTCCTTCAGGTCAGTCTAATATTTGTAATAAAAACTAAGTTTTGAATGTCAGTGTTTTCCCGAGCCACGACACACTACTGGTTTATCAGATGTTTATCAGACAGTCCTTTCAATATAAAGTCTTCTCTACCGACTCACTCATGAAGACAGTCTTTGCCGCCATCTAATGGAGAAATAATGTTCTTCTGTTGCTGTTCGCGGTCAGGGACGGAAGGAAGGCTTTTAGTGATTTTACTTCATGAAAGTTGCACTAACACATATTTTTTGGCTTTAATATTTGTATTGTGTGGAAACCGTTTAATAAAAGCTATAAGGTACTGGAGGCGAGTGCTGTGTGGGAATAAGACACGACAACAACACCCTTCAGACTTATTCACCACACACACAGCCTCGAGAACATTATGGCTTACTTACAGTCTGTTATGTGACCTTTGACCCGCAGTGTGAGGATCGTCGGCAGCTCGACTCTCTCCCTGTGTCTCGTGGCCAGCGGGTCGGCGGAGGCGTATTACCAGTTCGGTCTTCACTGCTGGGACATCGCCGCGGCCGCCGTCATCATCAGAGAGGCAGGAGGCGTCGTCATCGACACCACAGGTCATTATAGGAATATTATTATGTGTGTGTGTGAGTCGATCAGGGGCATAGAATTTAGTAGGGAAGCGGATGTGTGACGTGTCCCAATATCCAGTGACACTAATAATTTCGATCAAAACTTAAAATGTTTTTAATATATTTAATTACTTGTGTCAATGTCTCTGTTTGTGTCGTAGGGAACACACTCGACCTTGTGTGTGTGTGTGTGTGTTTCGATGTCTGTTTGTGTCGTAGGGAACGCACTCGACTTGAAAAGTTGAAATGGAAAATCTTCCTTTATGTTCTTATCAAGTGTGTAATTCATTAATAATGCAGGATTTTAAACAATAAGGGCTTTTAATCCTGATTGATCGATTGATTATTATGAATATTTGATTAAACGCTGCCGACTGGAAGGTGTGATTCCTCATAATGTAAACATTTACACTGTTCCTCAAACACTGGTGTATAAACAGTAACTGAGAGCAGATGTTATGCAGTCGCTGTTAATAAAGCTCAGTGTGTGTGAGAGAGACAGATTAGGGATTGTGTGTTTACAGTTTTATTGATTTTATGTGATGTTAGCTCAGATTAGATCAGTGAGATCAACACTGCGAACTACTGTCAGGAAGGGCACTGACTTTAATAGAGTTTTTATTTATTTATTCATCCTTCATGGTCAAAACTAAACATTTTAGTTGGACGTTTGTGTAACATTTTTAAATGTTAGTTTCGGAATGAAACATAATGATGGCGAAATAAAATAGAATTGAATGTTGATGTTCATAAACTAGAAGAACTGAGAACATTCAGAAACAGCGTTTTCATACTGTAATGTGAAGTGTTGAGTCTGCACATGCCTGCGTGTGTGTGTGTGTGTGTGTGTGTTGGGATGCTTGTGTGAGGCGACACAAAGATGCTTTGTTCCGGTTAGATCATTACCATGTGGTCAGAGCGAGAGAGAGAGAGAGAGCTAAAAGAAATGAAAATTAACAACAAACAAAAAACTAAAACCCGAAAATAATGTGTGTGTGTGTCGTAGGGAACACACTCGACCTGATGTCCAGAAGAGTTGTGGCCGCTGGGACTCGTGAGATCGCAGACTATGTGGTGAAGCAGCTTCAGCCTATAAACTACGGGCGTGACGACAGTGACCCCTGACCTCTGACCCCTGACCTCATCCTATTACCTCAGAACACACAATCCTGCCACGTCACATCTTCAGCGCTATACTCACATGTTTAACCATCCTAAAGTCACGAAGATGACCCGTAATCACCGCAGCCACGACCTTTGACCTCTAACACCTTCATCCGTGGAGATCACGCTAAACACTGGATCATGACTCGCAAAACCCGCTGATTTACCCAATATAAGAAGTTTGATGCCGTAGTGAGATCAGGACTCAGGAATCATGGGAGAAATATGAAATAACTGGTTTCTATATGCAAACACGGCTAATCTCCTTTCCTACACACTGCGTTTATCTTGATCCACGAAATAAGATATTAGACCTTGTTTTCTGAGAATAAACGTAAGCATTGATCTTGTTTTAAGCGTGTTTATATGAGACTGCAGTGGGAACATCTGGAGATCCGGTTCGACACGTTCATACGCAGTCATGTGACGTTATGGTCATGTGATGTTATGGCCGAAACACAAAACAAATCCTCGTGTTTGTTCCTGAAACTCACTGCAGTTCGACCTGTATTTCACAGTTGTGATGTTTTCTAATGCCGGACGATCTGTATAGATATAAACACATAGAGTTTCTGGATCACTTTCACATCAGGGCAACATTCCTCTAGTATGACCAATTAAAAGCATACAATGAAACCAATTCTGTCCAGTTATTATTCACTCTAAATTACTCACTTTCTTATGATTGTGCAATTTTTGTGCATATTGTATTTCTTAGTTTGGGAGCAAAAGCTTGGGACTTAAAGCATAATTTGCTTGGAATAGAATAGACGTTTCTGATTTGATTATTAGGTTGGATCTCTGTAAACGGCTGTTCCAGATGTTCAAGAGCTCTTGGACGTGAAATATAAAGCTGAAATTTGGCAAATTCAATTGAATTTTAGTCCGGAGAGATCTCCATTCTTTTGGAAAGACGTGCCAGCTTTAATATAGAGTTGAGCTGAGTAGAGTTCTGTAACGAGTTTCTGATCACAGTCCATCAACAACATCAACAATTCTGGGATTTTCATTAGTTGTGAGTAATAATCATCAACATTACAAGGAATGAACACTTGAAATATATCAGTCTGTGTGGAGTGAATGTATACATTATACAAGTTTCACTTTTTTTAATGGAATTACTGAAATAAATCAACTTTTTGATGATATTCTATTTATATGATATATTATATAGACTCATTACATGCAAAGTGAGATATTTCAAGCCTTTATTTGTTATAATTGTGATGATTATGGCTTACAGATATGAAAACTCCAAATTCAAAATTAGAATATTGTGAAAAGGTTTTCATATCTGTAAGCCATGATCATCACAATTAGAACAAATATCTCGCTTTGCATGTAATGAGTCTATATAATATATTAGTTTCACCTTTTAAGTGGAATTATTAAAATAAATGAACTTTTGCACCCTATTGAGGCCACGAGTTAGTATCTTGTGGCCACGAGTTACTATCTTGAGGCCACGAGTTACTATCTTGAGGCCACGAGTTACTATCTTGTGGCCACGAGTTACTATCTTGAGGCCACGAGTTACTATCTTGAGGCCACGAGTTACTATCTTGAGGCCACGAGTTACTATCTTGAGGCCACGAGTTACTATCTTGAGGCCACGAGTTACTATCTTGAGGCCACGAGTTACTATCTTGAGGCCACGAGTTACTATCTTGAGGCCACGAGTTACTATCTTGAGGCCACGAGTTACTATCTTGAGGCCACGAGTTACTATCTTGAGGCCACGAGTTACTATCTTGAGGCCACGAGTTACTATCTTGAGGCCACGAGTTACTATCTTGAGGCCACGAGTTACTATCTTGTGGCCACGAGTTACTATCTTGAGGCCACGAGTTACTATCTTGAGGCCACGAGTTACTATCTTGAGGCCACGAGTTACTATCTTGAGGCCACGAGTTACTATCTTGAGGCCACGAGTTACTATCTTGAGGCCACGAGTTACTATCTTGAGGCCACGAGTTACTATCTTGAGGCCACGAGTTACTATCTTGAGGCCACGAGTTACTATCTTGAGGCCACGAGTTACTATCTTGAGGCCACGAGTTACTATCTTGAGGCCACGAGTTACTATCTTGAGGCCACGAGTTACTATCTTGAGGCCACGAGTTACTATCTTGTGGCCACGAGTTACTATCTTGAGGCCACGAGTTACTATCTTGAGGCCACGAGTTACTATCTTGAGGCCACGAGTTACTATCTTGAGGCCACGAGTTACTATCTTGAGGCCACGAGTTACTATCTTGAGGCCACAAGATAGTTATAATTAATTTTTTTTACCAAAGTGGGACTAGAGGGGCTCCGTAGAATCCTTTTCACCTTGAAAATAATAAATATATATATATTTTTTTTTGCATTTTAAATAATTGACCATTTCTCAGTGATCATCAATAAAACAAAATCCCATTTTTCTCGGTTTAATGAAAACCAATAGGTCGTTATGGTAAGTTTAAGTTTCACGTTTGAGGGGGTTAAACCGTGACTAAAAATTTTCCAAAGTGCACCAACGTGATTATTTCACGTCTTATCGTGATACCGGGTTGGAGAAATGTTGTTTTGTCCACTTTGAACTTGAACTCAGGTCTCCTTGATTAAAGCTCAACGCTTTATCAACTGAGCCACTGAGTATGATGAGTTCAAGATTGCATTGTATGGGTTTTTATTGCAGGTTTGGTTTTATTTGTTGGAAAAATAAATATAGAAATATAATTTGACACAAGAGGGCAGTATAGCCCAATTTATGGTTTTGAGTTTGGTTTAAACTATCACTATCAGTTAAACCGTGACGTTTTCCAAAGTGGACCAAGGTTATTATTTCTTTTCATGATACCGGGTTGGGCACTGAAGTTACAGGTGGTTTAACGTCGATGTAATACGTTGTTTTATCGTACTGGACGCCGGAAAAATAGACATTTTACTCATTAGGCTGCTTCATTTAAAACGTGACATTTAGACGTTTTCTTCGGCGTGGATCAAAGCAAATGAATCCTTTTCACCTTGATAATAATATATCTTTTTTGCATTTTAAATAATAGACCATTTCTCAGTGATCATCAATAAAACAAAATCCCATTTTTCTCGGTTTAATGAAAACCAATAGGTCGTTATGGTAAGTTTAAGTTTCAGTTTAAGTGTAAGTTTCATGTTTGAGGGGGTTAAATCGTGACATGTACGTAGGTTTTCCAAAGTGGACCAACGTGATTATTTCACGTCTTATCGTGATACCGGGTTGGAGTTGGAGAAATGTTGTTTTGGCCACTTTGTTTTATATAGTTTTTGCTCAATGAATTAAAAAAATAATTAGGTTAGATTAAGTTTTTTTTTTTTTTTTACACAAGCAACATACATCTCTGCTACAAATGAATACTTTAAGTTTTTTTCTAGGACCTACCATTTTCGTACAGTTGGACTGAAAGTGACAGAAGTGCAAATGTTACAACTTACCCCATATGCGGGGTTAACTGTAACAGAGAGAGGGGTAATGAATCAAAGCGCTATTGTGGAGTTGTGTGGTGAGTCAGCAGGGGGCGCTACAGACGCTCTTATACTTACTGCAAATATTACTTAAACTCGACAAAAGCATCATGTTATGACATATGACGATACAATATATTCACAAAATATAAATGTACATTTATTAATTAAATAAAAATACATTTTAGTTACATTTTTGGGTTAAACTACATTGCATTTATTTTTCTTTGTAATAAATATATATAAAAAAGTGAGAAATATGCAATTATTTGATATATATGTGACGTGATTCTACAACCACTCATTGTTATTCTTATATAAAGTCGCGCGCGTCAGTTTCTCTCGCGTCTTCGGGACTCTCTCTCTCTCTCACACACACGCACACACACACCTCTTCATCAGTGCTCGAGTCCTGCTGGAGTTATTCGTCAGTTTTGCAGGGTGGTCCTTCAGGCTGTTCATTGAGGAGGAGAAAAAGTGAGTCCAGATGCCAGTGTGCGCACAGCTGTGCCGCGTAAACGCGCGTCAAACGCTCCAGAACTGAGGAAAACGCGAGCGAACTCCTTTCACAATCGCCGAGGACTGAAATATCACGACACGCAGTTTTGGAGGAAACGCAACAAACTTGGAGCGAATAAAAATGCAACTTGTTGATGTTTCGCAACGCGCGTGAAGCACCATGATCTCTCCTGTCAACAGGTAACAGCGAGACCAGTTTGGAGAAGAGCTAAACCCAGTTTGGAGAAGAGCACAACATGTCTGAGGAGAACTGAGGAGACCTTCGGGACTTTAAACTTCTTCACGCTGATGTTTACCATGCGGACTATAGACTGATCCAGGATCAGGATCATGTCCTGCGGCCGAAGCCGACAGAAAGACTGGACGTGGAGAGATTTGTGAATTCTGATCTCAGTTATTATATTATTGTGCTGATATGATGGCCTCGGAGGTGGTGTGTGGACTCATATTCAGACTCATTCTCCCAGTGTGCCTCGCTGCAGGTAAGACTAACTCAACTCTAATCAAGCAACATGTGTGTAATAAATCAGAATAACTTTCAAAACGTGAGTAAATCTTCTTATGATTGAAAACTATTCTTTATCTTCAATTAAACCTTATTTTTATTCGTATACAATGATTGTTGATATAAGCCAAATTGTAAATATGATTATAAACAGAAACTGGTTTATGGCTTATTATTGGACGTGTCTTGTCTTGTTTAATACGCACTTCCAATTTTTATGGCATTTTCTATGATGTTTAATCAATACACAACAAAAAACATGAAGTTCGTCCTCAATGCATTTTTTTTTTTCCAGCACAAATATCTAGGCGTTCTTAAATTAAAACACATTTACTGGAGAAGCAAAATGACTGAAGATATTAAGTCTTGTTCACTGGGTGGAAAATCACCAAACTGAGTTTATGCATAATGTCAAAATTAACTTACACGATTATTTTTCTGACTCCATTTGGCAGATATTTGTTCTTTTTAAGCAAACATTTGCTCAACTTTGATAAAAAAAAAAAATATCAGAAACACAGACTTAATATTTTGACTTATTTTAAATTTATCTTGATATAAGAATGTTTTTTATGTATAGCCTACAATATTTTGTCCTAGAAAAAAAAAGGGAATACTTTACAATACATTTGCATTAGTTAACATGAATTAATAATGAACTGCACTTCTAGCATTTATTAATCTTATGTAAGAAATTTAAACATTTACTAATACATTATTAAAATCAAAGGTTGTATTTGTTAGCATTAGTTAATGCACTGTGAACATGAACACACAACGAACAGCTGGATTTATGTTAACTAACATTAACAAAGATTAATAAACACATGGTTAGTTCATGTTAATACATTTCATAATGTTAAACAAAACCTTATTGTAACGTATTACTGGAAGACAAGACATACTGAGAAAGAACATCATGTTTTGCAGTGTACAGTCATTTTAGTCATTTTCTTAAACCAGGCGCTGTCAGAAACACCTTGACTAATGTTAAAGCATGACAGTTTCACTGATTATGGTCCTCTACTTTCTGGACTGTGTAATTAATTGAATAAATTAGCATCTCATCTTGAGCTTAACTTGTGGTGTGGTCATGAAAACAGATGTTGAGAGGCTTGATATGATGATGGAGGACGTTCATATATCGCTGAATGCTCCTTTCACTGACGTGGAGTGATAAATGACGAGAAATGCGTTTACAATAGACGTGACAACATTGATTCATTTTTATGATTGATTCATTGATGGATTTATTGATTTAGAGTTCAAACACAGTTCTCTTACCAAGGAATCTGAATGACAATAGTTAAAATGTGGCCACATTATTAACTGAACATTAAATGTGAAATTTTTAGATGCGTATTTGTTTTACTCTTTTTTTTTTTTTTTTTAGTAAAAAATTGCAATTTTTGCTGGATTGTTTGAAGCACTGATTTGTGTGCAGCTTTAATATGGTAACGTTATGCTCTGTTTAGTTGACCTAGTTAGTGCTGATGATGTTCACCTGTTGTTTGTTTATTTACCTCATTTCTCCTTTGCTGCGTCACAATTCGCGCACTATATCCGTCCTAAATAGTATTTCCTCTCAAATCGTATGTTGAAATTATAATTACAACGATTCCTGGATGTCCTACTTTTTCCGAAATGCAGATTCATGCACACACGTTGGACGAGGAATCAATTAGAACTACAAACTCGAATAAAAAAAGTGTTAAAAAACTACAAAATGGCGGATCTGCGAGTCTGCCAGTTAAGTAGAGAGGTTTAGATATAGGGCTTGTGTTTGAGTGATTAATATACAGTATCTAACATGCTGAAAATATATGTATTCAATGTTATCCACATTATATTTCCTCTGCAACAGCATTGTGAACTTTATATTAACTTTTACTTTAAACTTTTAAACGCATCATTATGCAAACACACGAGGAGTCTCCGTACAGATCAATGTGCTTCTGCATTTCTCTCAACGGTAGGAAATTCAATTAAATGTGAAGGACTTTAACTGTGAAAAGATGATTGACAGGGCAGTTTAAACGGCGACAGGACGCACTTAACTAGAAAGGTTTGACGGAGTAGGCTAGTTTATTTCTCTTCTGCTACTACACACTCAAAAGTGTGTTGCAAAAGTGCTCTTTTTCTTCAGAAAACAGTACCATATCCCCGATGTTCTCCGGTGGTTTCCCTATTGGATTTATTATTATTATTAAAACATAATATTGTTCTATCACGATCATACGCTTTATTCCAGCTCGGCTGTCTTTCCCTGTGAGTATTCAGAGTGTTTTGGTGTAAGATGAGTAATTCTGCACTCGATGTCTGTCCAAACACACTGATCTCTTCCGCTGTCAGCTCTGGTTTTCCCCGAGATGCGATACAGAACCCTTTATATTTACATTCTCAATTGTCTCTTATGAGTGCAACGCCTCCTCTGTGTCCTGATCGTGTCGAGTGTCTGTCGAACATCTGCCTCGTCTGACGTCTGTTTTCACAGATAGTGAGGGCTTGAACTTCTGAAGCCTCCCGTCTTGGATCTGTAACAATCGGGACCTCTGCTTCCCACGACCCACTGGTACGCCAGAAACACCCAACACTGTTTATTTGAGATAAAACGCCCAATGAAGTCAAGATCAGAGAGTCGAGCAGTCAAGCTCCCCTGTTTAACTGAACACAGAGCTGTCTTAATCCAGACAGAGTCCATGACGTGTTCCCTACATAGACAGTAAAAGGGGTTCCCTACGCTGAAAGATAGGCCGCAAAATTATGTTCAAATCAAAACTTGCACGACTGCTCAAAAACGTATAGGGTGCAGGAAAAACGAACCACACAACAGCTGTATACGAGGCATCTACTTTAGTATTTTATTTCAGGTTTATTTAACAGGGACAATGCACACTAATGATACATGATTAAATGTACAGTGTGCCAGAATTAGCCAGTAGGCTATTTTACATCTGCTGTCCCTGGACAGATCTTGATGTCACACCTAAAACAAAAAACAAACAAAAAACAAAACAAAAAAAACATAAAAACAATATAGCTAGGACAATAACTAATGTCAAAGGTTTCCCCTATCTAAACACAAGCACTCCTTGTAGATCTGAGAGCATTTGGTGCTGCTGTGCTCATAAACTGGCACAATACAGGAGGATTGTACACACAAGACAGAGATCTGCGTATATAATCAAGTTTTCGAAATTCAATTGATTATATTTTTTTAAAACATGACAATGATGAAAATTTCTTATCGAGTACTTTAAGAGTTTTCTTATATAGGGATAACAGTGGTTTGAGTGTTGCTAGCTTGTGACTAGGTTCTCAAACAATAGGTGATATGAGATAAAATCTCATATCATAGTAGATCGTTTATGATGAGACACACATTTTACATATGAATTTTAATTTGTCACCATAGGATTTGTGGTTTGCTATTGGCTGATCTCATGTAAGTGACAGGTCAATTATGATCCACAATATATCGGCCACCATATAAAGAAATTAAGGTTTTTGATGAAAACATTCCAGGATTTTCTCCATATAATGGACTTCAATGGGGACCAAACGGTTCAAGGTCCAAATGAGAGTTTCAGTGCAAACTACAAACTGTTCAAAGGACTTTAAATGATCCCAGACGATGAATAAGGGTCTTATCTAGTGAAACAATCGCTCGTTTAATAAATAAATAACAAAGTTTAAGTTTTATAAGCTCAAATGCTCGCCTTGCTCTGTTAATTCAACGAACAAAATGACTCGAAAAAAGATTTGTTCGTTTAGATGAACGAGTTCGAACAGGAGAGTCACGAATGCCCATCACAGAACAGAGCAAGGCGAGCATTTGAGCTTATAAAACTTAAACTTTGTTATTTATTTATTAAATGAGCGATCGTTTCGCTTGATAAGACCCTTATTCATCGTCTGGAATCACTTAAAGCCCTTTGAACAGTTTGTAGTTTGCACTGAAACTGTCTTTTGGACCTTGAACCGTTTGGACCCCATTGAAGTCCATTATATGGAGAAAATCCTGGAACGTTTTCATCAAAAACCTTAATTTCTTTTCGACTGAAGAAAGAAAGACATGGACATCTTGGATGACATGGGGGTGAGTAAATTATCAGCTAAAGTTTTATTAAAAGTGAACTAATCCAAAATGTCCAAATAAAGCATGCACTCCTCTTTGACCCAAATGAATGATTTTCAAATGTTATATCCGTATCAGGTCAATCACTTCAGCATCATAAACACAACTGTAAGTGATCTCTGTAAACTCCAGACCTCTCGTGGGTGGGACGCTAGTTTTTAGGTGAATATTTTATTGCACTGAGGAAATATTTTGTCTGCTCGTATACAGAAAGTAAACAGTTATTTACCTTTATAGAGGATGTGATACACAAAGGTACAACCAAACTGACCAAAAACAGCATCAGTTTGTGCAAATATTTGCAACTGCTTCCTTTTGTATGGCTCTCTTCATCAGAAACAACATGCAAACTTTGCATTATGTTGAATTATTACGTACGATCTGACATTTGGACCATAACGGTGCTTTAATTGGACCCTGCACAGGTAAAGCATTTATGTTCACACACTTACAGCCAAACCAAAATATATTCAGACACCTTAGTTCAACATTTCTCACATTTTCAGTTTATTCACTATAGAAAATGTTAATAAATATGAGCAGAACTCAGTTCTCAGATCAGTGGATATTTGACTGGTTTTGTCCGTCCTTCTGTTGGACTCTCACGCATGAATTATGTTGAATATCTGTTCAATTGAACTACACAATTAGATAATACCAGTTTAGCTCAAGCAATGCTTCATGTTGTTCAGTGTGTGTGTGAAAAGAGCATTAGCGGTTACAGAAAACACACTTCAGCAGAACATCATCAGCTCAAAGTGTCCGAATCATATTTGGTCCCAATATGTCACACGGGTGTAATATGTCACGGTTTACTTTATTTTGCTCTCCTCACTCAC